GTTTCGGGAGGAGAAGATCCTGGGTCGAGGGCTACGCTGGGCGCGATTGGTCCGTTCTGGGATGGAAGCTCACATTCGCTGGTCCAGTCGCATCGAGGACGCTCGACAGAGAACGCGGGTGTTTTTTTTTTTTTTTTTTTTCCAGCATGCTGCTGGTATTGGTGTGCCACCAGATCTTGCTCTGCAGTCGGCACCTGTGCCTGTTGTGCATCTCTGTCCTTTTTGCCCGTTCTCGCCGCCCAAATCTGCAGCGGTGAAGGAAGGCTCATACTGCGCGGCTTCACCATCAGCAGCGCTCGGTAGCCGCTTGCTATATCCACAGCAGCGCTTGCCCTATCTGTCTGGTTCGCTTCAGCTCTGTGGACTTAAGTATGGATCATATTGCTTATAGTAACCCCAGCTGTTACACCTCTGCGCTCTCGTTCTTGGAGCCCGAGGCTCCTGAAGTTTCGGATGGGGTGAGGGCCCTAGAGGCCTTGGAGCGTAATGGGGGCCCGCGAAAAGGGGGGGCTATGGGGGGGGGGCTGGCTCCCTGCGTATCGGGCCCTGGTCCTCGCAATGGTCTTCAGCAGACTCTGTCCTATGTGCAGGCCTGGCAGGTTCTCTGTAGTATGTATTACCAGTGCGAGGATTTCCCCGAGCCCCTGTTCGAGGTCCAGGAGGTGAAATCCAACTACGAACCCCCGCTGGCATGTGAACATACGTTTAAACCTCTTGCCTATGATGGCCCAGCTGCCGAGCGATGCCCTCGGCCACCGCAGTATGCTGTGCTCGCCTTTTTTATACTTGTTTTCAGGAGTGAGGCGTGTTGGTGATGTGCGAGATAAGTTAGAACGTGTGCTGGTACAAGGGCCTGTGACGATTTTGCTTATCTCCTGTGATGTGGCTCGTGTCGCCGTGAACGGAGATCTAACCCGGGCAGATATTGCTCAGAAGTGGGACTCGCTCTTGAGATCAAGACGTGCTATCGGCCTCATAGGAGGCCCTCCGTGCGAAACCTGGTCTGCTGCTCGCTGGCAGGAGCTCCGAGTTGCCGATCGTTATCGCCCCCCCTGCTCCGCTCCGTGCACTTAAGCATTGGTGGGGTCGTTCTGCTCTTCCCAGTCGTCAGCGTATGCAGCTCTCTATCGGCGCCCAGCTCCTGTTGAGCCAGCACTTGCTGATGTTGACCTGCCTCGGGGTGGGTGCGTGTGCTTTGAAGGAGCGCCCGGAGACGGCGCGCTGGGAGGAGAGAGCTTCCCATTCGTGGCAGTTTGCCGCGTCGCGCGCCCTCGTGTTGTTTGATCAGTGTGTGTGTGTGTGTGTGTGTGTGTGTGTGTGTGTGTGTGTGTTTGGACAGGTAAGTAAGGCTCCGACGACGTTCTCGTGTGTCCGTTTTGACTCAATCGTGGGTGAAATCCAGGGACTGGGCAGAAGGGGCAGATGCGATCGCCCAACAAAGACCCGCACCACATTGCTTGGCATTGACCCTGCCACAGGAAAGTGGAGGACGGCCCCCCCAAAAAAAGGTACCCTCAGGAGCTATGTGCTGCAATGGGGAGGGCTGTGTCTAAATATGTGGAGGAAGCTTATCGTTTATCTGATGGTGACGAGCTGTACCATTCAGATCTACCCGGCGGTCTGAGCGGGTGATGAGGACATTGCTCTTGATTTTGCAGGTCTCAGACAAAGGGGGCTCACGGGCACCAGATTTGATCGCCCTCCCGCCCCGTCCGGCCCCCAGGATCCTCGTGGCCCATCGCCCTCCCGGGACCCCTTCCAGGTGCAGCCTGTGCGTGAGGAGGCCTTTTTGTGGCCTGAGGAGGAGGATCTGTGGGCTGGAGAAGGGATGTTGAAGACTCTGGAGGCGTCTGGGGATCCCCGGGTTCCCCGCCCCGCTCCTCCTCCGCCCCCCCCCGTCCGGGTGGAGCTCGCCGCCGAGCTGCGGCAGGCCGTCGCCCGCCGCCGGGGGCAGGCTAGGTGCCGCAGAGCGGTGCGACATGCTGTCCCAGCAGGAGGCCTTTTCTCTTCTGCTGCTGTTGCTGCTCCTCCTCATTTTCCTCCTCGGCCTGTGGTAGAGGATCAGGTGCGTGCACTTCGTGCCTATGCCATGCTCTGCCATGCTGCAGGGCGTGGTGTGGATGGCGTGATGAGGTGAAGGGGTCCCTCGTCCGCTTCTTTTTGTTATCATCCATCTGTGTGCTTGCATAGTGCTTGTACATGTTGTGTGATTTATTCCTTGTGGCTGTCCATGAGCCCTCATTGTCCAGAATGTCCAGAATGTCCTCCTCTACCTCCTCCTCCTCCTCCTCCTCCGCCCTCCTGCGCCCTCCTCCTCCTCCTCCCTCCCGCTCGTGCTCCTTCTCCTTCTCCTGCTCCTGTTGCTTCTCTTTCCTGCCCTGCCGCCCGGCTGCTTGTTTGTTTCGTCCGGCCTGGGGCCCCCCGAATGCCGGCTGGCTATGTCTTCGGCGGGTCTGCTCTTGCTGTCAGCAGTCTACCTGCGATCAACATGCACTGCTCGAGCGCTATGGCTGCTGCGTTGAGAAAGGATGACGGAAATGAAATGCAGGTTTTGGCCTTTGGCAGAGGGCGGGAACCCCGTGTATCACCTTCGCGCGTGCCCGCTTCCACGATGCACCAGGTCGCCGAGCACCCCGCAATTCGCGTGACGCAGTCTCCGCGCGCCACAGTTTTGTGTAGTTTCGGGTGACATGGTGTCGACAGGATACCCTTCTTGTCTGCACCCTGATGTTCTTGTGTCTGTTGTGAAGTCGAGGAGCCTTGCCGCCTCCGCATTGAAGTTGCGGAAGCGCCGCGCAACCATCTTTCGGTGCTGATGGGGTGGGGTGGGGCCTTGGATCCAGCCGCATTCCAACATGGGAAGGAGCGCGTTCAGTGGGCGCCTTGAGGGGGGGGGTCCGGAACCGGGCCTGGGCCTGGGCTTGGGCCTGGGCGTGGACGCAGGTCCAGCCGCATTCCAATTTGGGAAACTAATTCTGTGGGCGCTTGGAGAGGGGGTGGTCCGGAACCGGCCCCCTTCGCCCCCCGTTCAAGAGGGCGGTTCGAACCCCCCTTCCTCCAGGGGGGGGTTCGACCCCTCCCCCTCCTCTTCCCGTGCCCGCGCCGGCGCCGACGTGGGCGTGGGCGTGGGTCTGGGGCTGGGCCTGGGCGTGGACGCGGGAGTGGGAGTGGCGTGCGCGTGGGCGCGGGCGTAGGCGTGGGCGTGGGCGTGGGCGTGGGCGTGGGCGTGGGCGTGGGTGTGGGCGTGGGTGTGGGTTTGGGCGTGGGCTTGGGCGCGGGCGCGTGGGCGCGGGCGTGGGTGTGGGTGTTGGCGTGGGCGTGGTGGGCGTTGGCGTGGGCGTGGGCGCGTTCGTGGGCGTGGGCGTGGGCGTGGGCGTGGGAGTGGGCGTGGGCGTGGGCGCCGGTGTGGGCGTGGGCGTTGGCGTGGGCGTGGACGTGGGCGTTTGCGTGTGCGTGGGCGTGGACGTGGGCGTGGGCGCAGGTGTGGGCGTGGGCGTGGGCACGGGTGTGGCCGTGGGCGTGTGTGTGATCGTTGGCGTGGGCGTGGGCGTGGGCGCCGGCGTGGGCGTGGGCGTGGGCGCGGTCGTGCGTGTGAGCGGCGGCGTGGGCGTGTGCGTTGGCGCAGGCGTGGGCGTGGGCCTGGGCGTGGGTGTGGGTGTGGGCGTGGGTGTGGTTGTTGGCGTGGGCGTGGGCGTGGGCGTAGGCGTAGGTGTTGGTGAAGGCTTTGGCGTGAGCGTGGGCCTGGTACTGGGCCTGAGCCCAGGCATGGGCCCGGGCCTGGGCGTGGGCGTGGGCGTGGGCGTCGGCGTTGGCGTGGGCATCGTCGTTGGCGTGGTCGTGGGCGTGGGCATGGGCGTGGGTGTGGCCGTGGGCGTGCGTGTGATCGCGGGCGTGCGTGTGGTCGTTAGCGTGGGCGTGGGCGTGGGCGTGGGCGTGGGGGGTGGGCGTGGGCGTGGGCGTGGGTGTTGGCGTGGGCGCGTCGGCGCTGCCAGCCGCCGCCGCCGCCGCTGGCGCCGGCGTGCCGGGGTTGGCGCCCGCGCGGGGGGGTTCGGGGAGGGGGAGTCCCCCTATTTCTGCTCGACGGCGCCGAATGTTGGGGGGGTTCCCCCCGCAGTTCGAGCGCGCTGCCGAATGTTCCCAACGCAAGCGCTCTCGTGAAACGCGCTCCCTCCAAATGGGCATCACAGTTTCACAAACGGTGCTGAACATCGCTTCGGTCGCCAGGGCGCCCGCCAAGGGCCACTGGGTACAACACCCATCGATATTCTCTGCGCTGGTCGGCAAGCATCGATGAACAAGCATCGTCGTCAACGGTTCACGTAGTCTAGCGACTTCGGCCTTGTAATGAACTGAGCAATCGTGGATATCTTGCTGCCGCGATCTCTTGCGAGGCGACTCCCCGTCGACCCGCTCCTGTGGAATAGGCGGCAATCCCCAGGAGCTCTCACACCGCGTTCGTAAAAACCATGGCCTATGTCACCCGCGCTGGCGAGAAGGTAGTCGCGCTTCGCGCGCCGCGCGCTGGGACCAGAACGGCTACCCTTCTCCAAGGGGACGGCGCGAGGGCAAGAGGGCGTGAAGACACTCGCGCTTCGCGCATCGTGGAGCGCGATGTGCGAAGTTAGGTGACCTGGTTGGCATTTCTCTTCAGGCACTCCCCGCGCCAATGTGTCGCAGAAGCTCCTCTACTGAAGCCAGTACGCGGTGCAGAGCAGCGACGCACGAACGGACTCACAGTCGTCGACCTCTGTACCTCCTTCCCCTCCTCCCCCTCCCCCCCGTTTCTGGCGGCATGGATCTGCTCGTCGCGTGTCGTCATCAACCTCGTGGTCCGGGGGGGTCCTGGGCTCCCCAGGTGGAGCCCAGCCCCCCCGCGCTGAGGCGCGCCATCGCCAGCGCGCCTCAGATCGAGCGCATCCTACCCTTCTTCCTCTCGCTCCTCCGTCTCCTCCCCCTTTCCCCCTCTTCCCTCTCCTCCTCCCCCTCCTCCTCCCTCTCCTCCCCCTCCTCCCTCTCCTCCTCCTTCCTCTCCTCCCGCTCCTCCTCTCCTCCTCCCTCTCCTCCTCCCTCTCCTCTTCCCCTCTCTCTGCCAGCGGGGGCGGGGCAGCCGCACCCCTCTTGGTGGTCTCCCGAGAGCGGCGCTGTCCATGGCGCGTGGGCCGGGAGCCGGCGCCTGCCGCTTCCAGCAGGCCCGCCAGTCTCCTCTTTGCCAACAGGCTCGCCAAGCGAGAGGAGGGGGAGGATGATGAGGAGGAGTAGGATGAGGGAGGAGGAGCAGGAGGAGGAGGAGGAGGAGGAGGAGGAGGAGGAGGAGGAGGAGGAGGAGGGTGAGGAGGATTATGATGAGGATGATGAGGATGATGATGATGATGATGATGATGATGGTGATGATGGTGATGATGCTGCTGATGATGATGATGATGATGATGATGAGGCTGATGATGATGATAATGATGATGATGATGCTGATGATGATGATGATGATGATGATGATGATGATGATGATGATGATGATGATGATGATGATGATGATTGATGATGATGATGATGATGATGATGATGATGATGATGATGATGATGATGATGATGATGATGATGATGATGATGATGATGATGATGATGATGATGATGATGATGATGATGATGATGATGATGATGATGATGATGATGATGATGATGATGATGATGATGATGATGATGATGATGCGGGTTAGGACGAGGGAGGAGGAGGAGCAGGAGGAGGAGGAGGAGGAGGAGGAGAAGGTGGAGAAGGGAGGAGGAGGGTGAGGATGATTATGATGAGGATGATGATTCTGATTCTGATTCTGATGATGATGATGATGATGATGGTGATGATGATGATGATGATGATGATGATGATGATGATGCTGATGATGATGATGATGGTGATCATGGTGATGATGATGCTGATGATGATGATTATGATGATGATGGAAATGGTGATGATGGTGATGGTGACGATGATGATGATGATGGTGATGATGATGGAAATGGTGATGAAGATTATGATGATGATGATGATGATGATGATGATGATGATGATGAGGATGATGATGATGATGACGATGATGATGACGATGATGATGATGATGATGATGATGATGATGATTAGGATGATGATGATGATGATGATGATGATGATGATGCTGCTGATGATGATTATGATGATGCTACTGCTGATGATGATGATGCTGCTGCTTCTGATAATGCTGATGATGATGGTGATGATGATGACGATGATGATGCTGCTGCTGCTGATGATGATGATGATGATGATGATGATGGTGGTGGTGGTGGTGGTGGTGATGATGATGATGATGATGATGATGATGATGATGATGATGATGATGCTGATGATAATAATAATAATGATAATGATAATCATCTTTTCGGGCCGTGCCGCCATGGACCCGCGTGCGGTCTCTTCGCCAAATTTTGGGCCGGGGTTCGGCTCTCCCGGCCGGGATCGAAGCTCTGGTCAGCCGTGGCTGCCAGCCTTCAGATCTTGCCGGCTTTCGCCTCCAGGAGCTAGCCAGGATCATCGGAGCGGACTGCTCTGCAGGATTGGCAGTCCGCGACGCGGCCCTCCAAGGGCTTGCTCGGCGCCAGAATGCTTCTATTGAAGGAGGCATCCGGCACCTTTTCCAAGGCCCGCTTGTCCGCGTTGCCGCCTGCCCGCCGCCTCCTAAGGTACTGCGTGCGAGTATCGGCGAACGTCAAGCATCCCGATGGTGTCCTGCAGGTTTCCAGGTGTCCCAAGCCCCCAGCGAATCCGACCAGCGCGTGAGGGCCGCTCGGAACGCCATTTCCCTTCTGCTGGACTTGAAAGAACACAGCTCTTTCTTAGCTGAAATACAAGCCGCCGATGTGTCGGGGCGCCGCCAGGAATGATGCGAACTCCTCGTTGCTGGACTAGCCGGGCGGTTCGCGGCTCGCGGTATCGATCACGCTGGCAGGACCTGCTGGCGCTGGCAGAAGTGGGCCGCTGAACAGTACTTGCCTTTGTCTGGGATTGTGCTGACCCCGAAGGCACTAGATTGAGCTGTGTGGTTGGGCGACGTGGCCTCCCGAGGCCCATCGGCGCCCACTGGAGTTTGGGTTGGGCTCAAATGGCTCTTTGAAAATTTGGGCCTGACGCACTCCCCGTTGGACTCCCCGTTGCTGGTTCGTTACAGTAAGCTGGCGCCAGGCAGCACTGCACGCCCTATGGCGCAGGAGCTCTCGCTCAGGGTGTGGGGGCATATTGTGGCGATTGCCCAGTCCCGCGCTGGTGCTTTGTCGCTCTTTGCCAAACTTTTGACTTGCGTCAAGGTGTCGTGTTTGCGAGTCCGACACTCTCAGCGTCACAGTTTCGTGCACGAGCGTCGCACAAACCACAGTCCATTCGGTTTCGTCAGCACAGGGAAAACTAGCGTTGGCGAGGCTTTCTTTGTAACCGTGCCAGGATACTTGCGACCAAACCTTCCTGTGCTGCGCGAGTCGTGCAACGAGTTTTGCGTACGCAGCCGCCAGGCGCAATTCTTGAGTTCTGATACCGCTATCAGCCAGCCTGGTGGTTTCTGCGCAGAGTCGGAGATCCCATGCCTGCCTATGACTTACTCAACATTCATGGGTTGTTTACGTGTCATGTGCACCCTACCCCCCCTGTCGTTGGCGCCATCCCAGACGCTGTCGGTGTCAACGTACTTCCTCCGCAGGAAGTTGCCTGGCGTTGCGGACCGTTTCCGGCTATGCCTGGAGCGACGCGCGGAGCTCGGCAATTGGGTGGACGTGCCGCAGAGCGCAGGGGCCGCACGAAAACGGGAACCCACTGCGGTGCGGTATTCCGATGCTGGGCTCGGTTCCTCTGCGTAGACGCGCAGGGTATGCTTGGCCGCCATGCGCAGGGCATCCCTGCTCCCTGACGCCGACGACGAGTCGGTCCGTTCGTTCTCGTCAATCCACGACGAGCTCTCCTGCGCAGTGACGCAGTCTGCTTGGGGGTTCTGGCGGGCTACACATCCTGCGAGACATGCTACCGCCTGAGCCCGCCATGGAACCAGGCGCCGCCGCTGTCGCCTCCTGGGCAGCGTCGCCAGGACGGCTGTGAAAGCGTTTCACAGCGCAGCTCCGCGTCAGGGGGTAGCAGTGCTTCTGGTTCCAGAAATGAAGACCCTGCGACAGTCGCATGGCTTTTGCCTAAGGGAGCCCGCAGCAGATTGCACCTTGCAGCCCCAGGGTCGGTCGAAAGGGAGGAGCAGACGCCCCGTTGCAGCCGCGCGCCCTTTGCGTGGGGATGTGAAGACGGAGTAGCAATGGTTTCCGCCGCAGCCACTGGCAGGGAGAGTGCGCTTCGGTGCCGTGAGGTCGCTCTTCAAGCAGGCCTTTTGGGCGATGGCTGACTTCGCAGCGGAGCTCTCTTCTTCCCTCTCCCGCTTTTGCCCCCGCGCTCACTCTTGCCATTGCCCCGCCTCGCCCCCTCGCCCCTCGCCGTTCTCCCTTCGCCCGGGGGCGCCGGGGGGGGGGGCGCGGGGGGCCGTCCTGGGTGGGGCGGAAGGAGAGAGTGAGAGGGACAGAAAGAGAAGGGGGGGCAGGGGAAGCAGGCGCGGAGAGAGCCACCGCGGGCTCGCGCGCGCGCCCGCCGCCCCGCAGGACAGCCCCCCCTGTCCTCCCGATTTCGCCAACCTCCCTCAGGCACCTCCACGTGTATTGCTCATGAGTGCATTAGCTTTCTTGTTCAACCACCTGAGGTTGCCACTGTTGGCATGCGACACAGGTACGCTGGGCTGCTTGCTCAGCCCCACGCTATGCCGTGCCTTGCTCGGGTGGCTCGTTTCCTCTTGCGCCTGGCGCGACAAGGTACAATTCGTTTGCCTCTCCGGTGGTCTCGCCCCTTGAATGGTTGCACTGTAGCCGCCTGGCGCACCTGGCACTTCTGGCACCTCTTGCAGCTCTGCCTTCAGTCTCCAGCGTCGCTCCTCAGCGTCCCTAGGCGGCAGTTTCGGCGGCCGTTTGTTTGTGCGCTTATGTAATTAGGTTTGGCTCGTAGCCTGGGCTGACTTCGGACGCCGCTCCCCACCAGCCCTTTCTCTCCAGTGGGCGTCAGCTCCCGTGAGCCACTTGCCGACAGACCCGGGCCTGGGCTTCTCCCGCCTCGCCTACCCGTTTCCAACGCCTACCCCGCGGGAGGCCCCTTGGGGGGCCCAGATGACTGGTGGGACTTTACCGGACGATGCAGGTGGTTAGCTGCGCAAGGCGAGGTGCTCAGACCAGGGCGCGAGCGGGCACAGCGGAGCGGAACGGATTACACACAGTCACCACACACATACATGCACACACATCCAAAACGTCGATCCAAGGGAGGCATCGGGAAGAGGAGGAGGAATAGGGGGAGGAGGAGGGGGAGGAGGAGGAGGAGGAGGAGGAGGAGGAGGAGGAGGAGGAGGAGGAGGATGAGGATGTGGAGAAAATGCTCTTTGATTCTGCTTCCTCCCGACGTGAGCACCAGTGCGCCGTCGGACACATGAGTGGTTATGCCTACCTTCAAGGGCATCCGCGCTACACTACCAACCCTGTCCCTCGCCCCTCCTCTCTCGTCTCTCCTCCGTCCTCCCTTCTCCCCCCTCCCCCCTCACGGCGGCGAGGTTCTCCGAGACGATCCGCTCCGTTCCGATCCGCCCCCGCGCCTCGCCCTGCTCGCCGGCGCCGCTCGTGTTTCTTCCCCGCTGGGCCCTCGTGGGGTCCTCCTTGCCCCCCCTGCAGCTCGCCGACAGCGACAGCGGCGACTCCGAGCATGACTCCGGGCCGCCGAGCCCGGGCGCGCCAGGGCGCGGGGCGAGCGGGCCAGAGGACCGGCAGCGCGGGAGGGGGAGGGAGTGAAATCAGGACCAGAACAAGGTCGGACCGACACATCAGGGATCTCTGAGATTTGGAGGTTTTGGAAAGTGTGTCGGGCGCTCTGGAACGCTCTGAACGCTGAAAGAGTTCTGGAACGCCATGGGGTGATTTATATATCCCAGTCCTAGCCTCGCCCTGTGAAGAGCCTGGGAGGCTTTGAGTTGTGCGCACGCAGCCCCCCCCCCCCCCTTCAGGCAGTTCCCGCTGGTCTCAACAGGCCCCCCGAGTAGCCTGGGGCGGTCTCAAAAAAACACCCTGACGCCGTCTCTGGCGGCGCCCCTGCCGCGTTCCGCGCCCCAGGGTTGAGGGGTTGAGACCGCCAAGGACTACTCGGGGGGCCTGCTGAGGCCAGTAGGGGCTACCTGGGGGGGGGCTTTATTTGCCCATCCCGAAGCCTTACCAGAGGCAGATGGAATGGATGGGAGGGAGGGAGGGAGGAGGGTGCGGAGGGAGAGGCGGGTGCTGCCGAGGTGCCTTGGGATGTGGGAGGCACGCCAGGAGTTCTTGACGCTTCGCATATCCCCACCAGCCCACCCACATATTATGCCCATGAGATGCTGCTGCTGCTGCTGATGATGATGCTGATGATAATGATAATATGATGACGATGATGATGATGATTTTAAAGATGATTATGATGATTCTGATGATTATGATGATGATGCTGATGCTGATGCTGATGCTGATGACGATGCTGATGATGATGACGATGCTGATGATGATGCTGATGATGATGACGATGATGATGCTGATGCGGATGACAATGATGGTGGTGGTAGTGGTGGTGGTGGTTTTGGTGGTGGTGATGATGATGATGGTGATGATGATGATGACGATGATGATGATGATGATGATGATGATGATGATGATGATGATGATTATGATGATGATGATGATATGATGATGCTCATACTGATGATGATGACGATGACGATGATGCTGTTGCTGATGCTGATGATACTGATGATGATGATGATGGTGATTCTGATGATGATGATGATGATGATGATGACGATAATAATGATGATGATGATGATGACGATGATGATGATGATGATGATGATGATGATGACGATTCTGATGATGATGACGATGATGATGATGATGATGATGCTGATGCTGCTGCTGCTGATGAAGATGATGATGATGATGATGATGATGATGACGATGATGATGATGATGATGATGCAGATGATGATGATGATGATGATGATGATGATGATGATGATGATGATGATGCTGCTGCTGATGATGATGATGATGATGATAATGATGATGATGCAGATGATGATGATGATGATGATGATGATGATGATGATGATGATGATGATGATGATGATGATGATGATGATGATGATGATGATGATGATGATGATGATGATGATGATGATGATGAGATGATGATGATGATGATGATGATGATGATGATGATGATGATGATGCTGCTGCTGCTGCTGCTGATGATGATGATGATGATGATGATGATGATGATGATGATGATGATGATGATGATGATGATGATGATGATGATGATGACTGGGATGAGAGACCAACCTCGAAATCCACATCCGTGGAGGACGAGGATGGGGCAGAAGTGGATCGTGGGGCAAGTAGGGCGTTGATTCTTGACGCTTGTGGTGGGGCAACCAAGGAGGGTGTGATGGAATACGAGGTACGAGGGGGATGGCGTGGTGCCCCTCCTCGTCCTTGTCATATTCCTCATTTCCTCTCCTCTCGCCTCTCCCCTTTCCCTCCGCCCTCCCCCTTCCTCCCTGTCGCCCTCCCTCTCCCTATCGCCCCCAACCCTCCCCGTCGCCCTCCCCCTCCTCCCCTCTCGCCCTCTTCCTTTCCATCGCCCTCCCCCTCCCGCGCCTGCGCGGCCCTCCCGACGCGGGCAGCGGTCCTTCAGAGGGAGCGGTTCCCGCCTCCTGCTTCAGAGCAGGAGGAGGAGAAGGAGGAGGAGGAGGAGGAGGAGGAGGAGGAGGAGGAGGGAGAGGTAGGTAGGTAGGTAGGTGTCCTCCCGTAGAGGATTGTATTTTGGGCCCTCGGGCTCGGGTCCTTTGGCAGAGAGTTGCAGGGCCGGGACGGCGACTGCTTCGACTCCGCGACGTCCGCCCAGGGAAGGGGCGGGCTCAGTCATGCGTGCAGGGGGGGAGGGGGAGGGCCCGGCCCCGCCTCCGATCCCCTGCCTGCACAAAAGAGACCACGCCTTTGCCCGAAAAGCGAACGCGGTGAGGAAGAGGAGGGGAAGGCCTGGGGAGAGGCTCCTTTCGGGGACCTCTCCGGCAGGGGCCCCCGCCCGGACCCCCGGCCGCCTCATGTCGACGCAATACGCAACTGCGGGACTGAGAGTACGGAGGGAGTGGGGGCCACCCCTGGAGACAAGAAGGATTTCGGACTCCCGTGGCCCTGCCCAAAAGTCTGCCTCCTCCTTCTCGAGGAAGACCGCCAGCGTAGCCGCCTCTGCATATCCTGCATCGCCCGGTCGCACAAACAGGGCCGCCCTGACGTTGGACTCCTTGTCGGGTGGCGCATCCGTTCTTCTCGCGTGCCAGAAAGCTTGCCTGAGAGGGCCAGTCTTCGCGCAAGCAGCGAGCACATGCATTGTGGGGCTGTGGGTGATGGTGCCGCAGCAGATGCACTGCTGGCGACTGGCCCACGAGCGTGCCCCCCCTACATGGGTGAGACGCACCAGGCGGAGGCGAAGGCGCGCGAGCGCCCTCTGGCCTTGGAGCTCACCCCAACTCAGCCCCCACGATAAGGCTTGGGATAGATCGCGCCGGACCCCTCCGCCCAGGGAGAGATAAGAGAGCGGACGCGTGTGCAGGGCCAGCTCTTGAACCAGCTGCCTCCGACAGCGCTCTTCTACGATCTCCCGGAACCTGGCCTTGTACGACTCCAGGTTGGACCCTGGATACGAAGCCTCCCAGAATGGCCAATCTGGCAGCTCCCAGGCCTCCAACATATTCAGCGATACTCGCGACCACGTGCGCCCGGGCGCTTGGGGCGCACGTACGAAAACTGTCTTGTAGAGGTCGGATTCTGGCAGCCGCCAGAGCCCCGCCCGCCTCGAAGCTACGTCTATGACCGCGCGCCCCGAGCCCGAGAGCGTCCAGCCCAGCTCAGCGAAAGCCGGGGCTGCTGGTTTCCATGGCGGGCAATCAAAGAAAGCCCGCGCCCACGCTGCGTAGCATTCATCTAACCTGGAGGAGGCCCCCGCGGCAATGGCATAGAGCCACCGGCCAAAGCGGAGGGATGGGTCGACCTGGGACTCGAAGATCCCGGCGGCCACGGCCAGGGGTAGGAGACCGCTGGAGACCTGTCCCGCCAGGGTGGCACACTGTGCAGATGCCGCCCCCAGGCGGGACCCCAGCAGACGCTCCAAGGACAGGTTGCCTTCCCATTGCAGGCCGAGCCACTTGTGCGACGAGGGCATGTGGAGCTGAATGGGTTGTAGTCCGCGGAGCGGGAGGACCACCGGCGACGCAGCTGCACGTGCGGCTCGGGCGTGCTCGCCGCCGTGGACCATGACTGCCTACTTAGCGGATTTGGTGTGCGGGGAATTCGTCTGGCGGAAAGCCCACTCCGCCACCACTGTCTGTGACTGCTGTGCGCCGCCGCGTGAAGACGCCAGCAGCACCGGGTCGTCCGCGTGGAGGATGACCGCCAGACGCTTCGGCGCGGCTGCGTCCAGCGCTGCGAGGGCGGACGCTTCCAGGTCCACGTCCGCAGCCAGCTCCCCTGAAGAGGGGAGCGGTTGATTGTCCTTCAGAGCCTGTAGCAGCTCTGCTGTTGTTCTGTGGTTGGGTGTGCCTGTGCCTTGCCATCGATGCTGCGCCCAGGCGGGGGGGGTACTGGCCCCTATGCCCACCCCGCAGCCTGCTGCTAGCAGCATCTCCGTCAGGGAGTCCATGTGCACAGGGAAAGTGAGGGGGCCAATCGTGCCCCCTTCCGCGATCCCCTGAGTGATGTCCACAACTTGTTCTCCGTTGTAGTTCACGTGGACGCTGTCCAGTTCCATGATGCTGGCTAGCATGGCATAGACTCCGTCCGCAAGACCCACTGAGTCCCTCAGGCGGACCAGAAGTGATTCCCGCCACGTGCGTGGGAAGGCCTTCTGGAGGTCCCCGAACATCGCCCACAGCGGCCGCCCCGTGGAGGCAGCCTCAGCGCCCAGTTCGTGCAGAAGCAGGTGGGCATCCCCGACATCGCGGATGTACCCGCTCTGCGCGGGCGCGATTTTGGATCATATCTCCGGGCGGACCCGGAAGAGGATGACGATCTCTTGCAAGAGGCCGAGCTGGGACTTTACCATGATAAGTCGAAACGATGCGCCTTTGTCTAAAGGGCCGTCCTTGTGTATGGGGCACTGCACTGCTGGCCCTCCAGTCGCGCGGTCGGACCGCCAAGCAGCGCGGCCCCGTGAGCCGCAGGAGAAGCCATACCGCCATTTTGAAGCAGGCGTCTCCTAGGAGGATGGCCGTTCTCGGGGGGAGGTCCGGCGTTGTCGCCCGTGTCGGCCCTAGTGTGCCAATGGCCCTGTCCACCTCCGTCTCCGCGACTGCCTCGTCGTGGGGGCCCTTGCCCCGGTGCGCGCGCGCCAGCCCCACCAGTCCCGGCAGCCGACCCGATACCTCCGCATGGTATCTCGCATCCCACGGGTTTGGCCAGACTGCTTGCTCTTGGAGCTGCCTGCACAACACTTCCCGGGAGCCGCCCAGGGTCAGATGAAGGCCGTCGGGACCACGTAGAGTGTCCGCGATCCTCAGCTCTGGCGGCGACAGGACTCGCATGCATGCCGCGATTCTGTCCATGCCTGAGCCCGACTGTCGAAGGGCCTCCCGGAGGCGGCCCTGCAGCGGCGCAGGGGTGCTCCCTCGACCTCTGGCTGCCCCGGGAGTGGCTGGCACCACCCAGCCGGCAAGTACCAAGCCCATGATGAGGTTGAAGGT